AACAAATTCCCGACACCGAAGCGCTGTGGCCCAGCCGCTGACCCTCCAGGTTCTCGCTTTCTTTCTTCCCCTCTCAAATCACGCTGCAAAAAGGAAACCTGACGGTCTGAATCCGCAGAACTGCCGGGCTCTGGGAGAGGCCTGCAGCCAGGAGAGTTGGGGCGGAGCTGACTCCCCCCCGGGGCCAGCAAAGGGCTCCAGAGACTGGACTTCTCCAAGTTTGTCTTTTTTCTTCTCGCCCCTCTTCCCAACTTTCCTTACCCTGCTGTTGTGTGCCGTCCAGTCCAATTGATTCAGACTCACCGCGATTCTATAAGATCAGGGGAGAAACTGCCCCATAGGGTTTCCTAAGATGAAATTTTTTACGGGAGGAAATCGCCAAGTCTTTTTCTCCCACGCAGCATTCGGTAGGGTCTAACAGCTGACCTTTCGGTTAATAGTTTAGACCTTAACCATTGATCCACAAAAGCCCGCCTAGCCCTTTGTTGTTGTGAAGTGCCGTCGAGTCGGTTCTGACTCATAGCGACCCTGTATAGGGTTTCCAAGGAGGGGCTGGTGAGTTTGAACCGTGGACCTTGTGGTTCAAATTGACTTGTGGTCCGGTACTTTATCCCACAGCGCCTCACCAAGACTTCCTAGAGCTCACTTTCCCCCTTTCTTCCATTTGGGACAGTCTTCCTGGCAGAGAACAATTTTTCCTTCTCTCAGTACTTCCACCCCTAAAGTGACCCTTGGTTAAGTCACGGAATCTTTTGGGCCTATGTAAAAGGAAAGGGAGAAGGATCCTTGGGGGCCACTTTCAAGGCCCCAAATTCCAGTATGTTTTCCTGAAGGTGCATCAGGAATTGGTCGTCCCCTCCCCCCATGCCCCTCCTCTCGGACTCAAACAAGAGACTGAAGACGTCCTCCTCTCTCCCCACTTCCTCAACGATGTGATGTATGTGTACAAGCACGGAATCATCTGGAAAAGAAGGATTTCGGGTAGGAACTTTTTATTAAAATGGGGGAGGGGGACTCATTTGTTGTTGTTGTTTTTTAATTTTGAAAATTTCTGATGTAAACTGCCACTACCCCGGGAAATGAAAATGAAATGAATATGCTTCCTGAGGACACGCTCAACGATTTTGCAACATTTCAAATTTTATTCTGTGAATGCCCCCCGCCTCCCTTTTAGCTGTTTTTGCCCCAGGGAGAAAAGAATGGCTTGCTCATTCCTAAGAGGGCAAAGATGAGGGGCGGGTTTAAGAGAGAAGTTGGCTCTAGGTTTAACTCTGCCAACTGTTGGAGGACGGCGGAGAGAGTTTGGGATCTAGTTTCCTTTAATTCGCCTCTGAGGCCGCGTCTTGCGCTAATGGGCGTCTGTCAACGGAGGGTTCAGGTTTCCCCACTTGCCTCGGTTAGTGGAAGCAGAGGGGCAAACAGCAAAGAAGATCAAGACCTTCTCAACCTCTGGAGCTGGATGAGCACCTCCAACCTTCTTCTCAGGTTCAAGGCTAAAAAGCCCTTTCTGGCCAGCCGTCTTTTCTGCCATCCTTAGAAGAAGAAGAAGAAGAAAAATTTTATTCCACACCAAAGATAGAGTTAACCAAAAACAAGGCATACACTGATGACGTTTGAAAGGAGTTGTTAGTCCAGAGACAAAACAAACAAACAAACAAAACCTTAAACACCCACAGCTCTTACTGCTGAGATCTTTCACTAACACCAGTTCATGTACTCCTTCCTGTAAGCTCAACAGGCAAGCAGATTCCTCCTTCTCGTTGTAGAGTCAAGGAAATGGAGAGATCCACAGAAATAAAACAGTTTGCTCAAGGTCACAGTCAGGAAATGCCTAATTCCTCATTGAGAAGCCCTCTGTAAGGCCTCTCATTTCACTCTTTCCTGCCATCCTCGCCCATGAACTAGACAATGCCCTCAAGGTCCGGCCTGCGCACTCTCAGAATACCTTCTCCACCTTCTGCCCACAGGGTGAGTCCAGTCAATACTGTATGCTGCAGTTTGTCACCACAGAAACATATGGGCACATGGTTCTACAACGCACTTTCTTTCACATCTTCAGAACATTCAGAGGACCCTTATTTAAACATATACACACCCGTCTATCATGTTCTCACTACCAAGATCCTTCCATGTAAAAATAAATAACCTCAAACATAACTCTTAATTGCTTTCAAGTCGACGTTACCACATCACTAAACTTTATTGTGGCCCAATCTAAGACAAACTTTCCCCAACATTCTAGCCCTTCCCAGGTCAGAAAAAGTACCTTCTTAGACATTCAACCTGGGCGTACTGAGCCCGGAGGGTGAGCTAGGTTCCTGAGAGGGAAGGAAAAGCTTCTGAGAACTGGCACCGGACCCTCTGAGACAAATGGGGAAGTTTTCTGTCTGCTGATCGCCCCCTACAGGCCACAATCCGCTATCGCAGGTAGAGCCCTGAACAGCTCCAATTCATACCGCGCTAGTCTTCGCACGCATTTCACTAGACCTCTGTCCATCCTCCATTCCTTGAGGGGCTGGACACGGGGGCCCCACTCAGGGACTGTATCCAGAACACGCTCTAGGGGCCACAGGTCTCGGAACTGAAATGAATCTCTAGAAATGGATGCCGGAGGAAAAGGAAAACGGTTTAAATTCGTGTATAGCCGAAAGCTAAAATCCTCATAAAAATCAACCTATTTCCTCTTTTTATTGCAAATAAAGCTGCTCCCTTCCTTTTAGTTTATTTTTTTTAAGTGAAATAAAAAGCGAGTTATCTGTCACGTTGTCTTTTAAGTTTCAATGTAAGAGCGGATTCCAGAGCTTGTCATCGCTGGTGTCCGTGGTGGCTAACATCAAAAGTGGATTTCAAGCTTTCACCCAGTGCATGCGTCATTGTAATATTTGCATTTCCTCTTCTGTACAAAACCTTGGTGGATAAAGAAGCTTGAACCAAAAAGAGATTTTCAGGGGGTTGTGGGGAGCTCTATTCCCTGACATCTGCCGGAACTTTAAACAGCTGTTGGCTGATTGTAGTTCTGGATCTGAGGGTCCCAATCCTCTAGGAAATTAAAGAAAGGGACTTACTGGGCTCTAGCTCAAGGGTAAGAAAGGACTACAAGAAAACTTGCCGGCGGATCTCTCTTCTACACTCAGCCGCCTACATCGCTGGAAAAAGCCCTGCCTATTGCAAACAGCGGCTTGTGGTAGTGTCACGCTGCGGGCGCAGGCTCGGCCGGTATTACTGCTATGCGCGGAAATATGAGCGAGTAATTTTATAAGTAACAAAGGATCAGGGATGGAATGAGGCCCCTGTTATCCAATGTCATTTAGAAGCCTTGGATCAGCAGCTTCTTGAGGCTAAAAGTGAATTCAAGAAGCCCTGCCTTTCCCTTTTCCCAGGGGTATCATCTAAATTTAGAAATAACCTCTGTGTGTTTGCACAAATCATGTACCATTTGCTGTTTGTGTAAAAACCGATTAGCTAGACACAACTGTGAAACAACTTGTTACTTTTATAGCTGCAACACACAAACAAATTTAGATCCGTTTAGTTTTCCTTGTAAAAGGAGATTAGAAGGGACCCGCCCGGAGACCGTGTGGTCCATAATCTCTTCTCGACAAAGATTACTGTTGCTCTTATTTGTGAAGAATGATGATCAGATTCTTATTTATCAAGTTAAACTAACTCATCCCTCGGCAGCTTGTTTTATTTTAGGACTATGATGCCAAAGGAACGTTTACTAAGGACAAGCTAATGTTGACCGTTCTCTGGAAAATAGATTCGGTATTTGCGAGGATATGTCTTTCAAAACAGCTTCCTAGCCCACGCCTCCAGCAAGAAATAAGGCTCCGATCCGATGCCCAGAGGCATCTCGCAACCCAACCAAGGAGGCTAGGCGGACAGCAAAATCATTGTCTCCTTGTGTTTTGCAAACAGGAAGCGCACGCGGGCCGAGCTGACAGTACTAACTGGCTCCAATTTTAAAAAGCGACTTCGCATAAGTAAATGTAACAGCTAAATTAATTACAGAATAATTAGAATTGATGCCATTTGAGGCAATGTTGGTGATGATGGGAACCGGCCTTTGGCGCCTAGATATTTCATTTCCAAGAGAATACTTACAAAAAAAAAAAAAAAAATGTTGATCCAACCGAAATGCATGTCAAGATTATTCTTCGAGGACATTGGACACTCCTGACCTATGGGCACGCCATTTTGCACTAACCTAGTCTAAGGCTAAAAAATAAGGGAGGCTGGTGCACCTGATTTTAAAATGTCATTACTCTTTACTTCTAAAGTCACCATTTCGTGTACTCATCAGAAAGGCATCTTGGTGGAGGTAGATTGGGCTCCTTCAGTAATTCGATTGTGTCTGGATTATTACCACAGCAATGTGTGGTACATTATTTGAAAACATTCTGAGAGAACCAAATGACTATGAATTATTTTACCTATCAGGTTACTATAGTTAATACAATTTCACTGCAAAAATTAGCCTGTGAGAACAAAATATTAAAATCAACTGGGCTAATTTTTATCACTTGAAAGACTGAGAATAAATAATTTTTTAAATCTAAGAGTTAAATGCTAAAATGAGGTGTTTGAAATTTACATTCTTTTGAAAAGATAAATTAAATGATCAGAAACTCCTTTTGGAAGTTTCATTTCATTAAAAAAAAATTAAGACTACTCGTGCTTTGAAGTCAGCTGTATTTTAAATGACAGCTCACCTATTTTATTTACAGAAATGTCTGATCATTTAGATGTAATGGGTTGACATGAATGATCAGCGCCTGTATGCTGATTTTATGTAAAAAAGAATGTTTTAATAATATTAAAATTAGGTAAACTTTTATCTTTCTCCAATTAAATACTTCCTACACTCAAATTATGAATTAGCAAAGTTGGAAAGCATCATTACTTGAAATTTCTCGATTTCCAGGTAAATGAAAAAGGCAAATGCTATTTTAAAATCTTGTCATTTACTTATGGACACCTAAATAAAACACTAGGCTGAACATTTAAAAAAATTTATTTACAAAGTTGTGTACAACACGATGGAATAACATTTAGAGTACCATATAGATCCATTCATATATAAACAGACTTCTATAATAGAATGACACTTTTTTCGCTTTTTTGAAAAAAATTTTTATATTTAAAATCTCCCAATGTCTCTATACATTTTTTTCTCAGATAAAACTGCGGAGAGTGAACTTTCAAAAAAATGAAAGTTCAGAGCTCTAAATCTACTGAATTTGTGTTTTTTTTTTTTTTCTTAAAAAAATAAAAACCCCAAAAGGAAAGTCAATACTTTTTATACAAATATGTACAAAGGATTCCCCTACCATCCCCGCGATACTGAGAGCTGGCTCCATCGGGGTATAGTTTTGGAAATTTCTATTTTACCTGTACGGAGCTTTCCGACCAGCGCGCGGTGAGAGCTCCGCCAGCCTAGGTGTGAGCGAGGGGGTTGAGGCCGCTGAAGGTCAGGGCTGGGGAGTCGCAGGGGCGGGGTAGGAAATGAGCAGGGGACCAGAGTCTTGGATTGGGCGTGGGAGTCGGGGCCCGGACCAGGTCAGGGCGCGCGCAGCCTGAAGTGCAGCCTTCGCTCAGGGCCGCTACTGGGCCGTGTCCCGACCACCTGCGCGTCCCTATTGCGCGGGCCACTTGGCTTGTACGGCGGCGGCGGCGGCAGCGGCGGCCGAGGCTGCTGGCTGCAGGAACTGTCCAGAGAGCGGTACACTCAGGATGGGCGCGATTGTGGCCGTGGTCCGGCTCAGCGACAGCGGCTGATGCGTGGCCATGAGCGCGGCCGACTGCACAGTCCCGGGAGGCCGGAGAAAAGACTGTGCAGCGCCGCCGCCCCCAGCACTCCCGCCCCCCCCAGAGCCCCCGGTGCTTCCCGCGCCCGCAGCTGAGCCTCCCGGTGCAGTGGGACCCCCGCCGATTATGTTCTCGATGCTGAACGACGGCCGCGCACTCGGCTCGGACTTGATGAGCGACGCCGTGGCCCCCGCCGTGCCTGCGGCGGCCGCGGCAGCTCCCAAGCTATTGAGCTGCAGCTGCAGGCCGGGGCCGAGCTGAGATCCGAAGGCAGCCGCCTTGCGGCCCAGCTCACCCGAGGGCAGTAGCGGCACCGCGGGCGGCAGCACGGGCGCTACGGGAGGCAAAGCGTACGGGTACTGGAGCGCCGCTGCGGCCGCCGCCGCTGCCGCTGCCGCCGGGTGAGAGTAAGCGCCCGCTGCGGCCGCGGGATGCAGGCCGTAGGGGCGACCATAGGGGCCCGCGGCGCCGGCTGCAGCCGCTAGGCTGTAGGCACCGAAGCTTTGCATCATGAGCGCCGTCTGCTCGCGCAGGTGTTCCTGCTGGTGGCGCTTGAAGCGTTTCCGGCGCCGCAGGAAGCTGCCGTTGTCGAACATGTCCTCGGACTGCGGGTCCAGGGTCCAGTAGTTGCCTTTGCCCGGGTTGCCCGGCTCACGGGGGATCTTGACGAAGCAGTCGTTGAGCGAGAGGTTGTGGCGGATGCTATTTTGCCAGGCAGGAAACTTCTCCCTGTAGTAAGGGAAGCGGTTGCTGATGAACTCGCAGATGCCGCTCAGGGTCAGCTTCTTCTGCGGGCTCTGCAGGATGGCCATGGTGATAAGCGCGATGTATGAGTAGGGAGGCTTCACCAGACTGTTCTTGGGCTTGCTCGGAGCCAGGCCACCCGCCGCCCCGCTGCCCGTACCGGGCCCGCCGCCGCCGCTGCCCTCCTCGCCTCCAACACCGCTCTTGCAGCCGTCCGGCTCGGGCGCGCCCGCCTCGCCCCCTGGCCCGGTCCCAGTTCCGGCCGCCTCCTTGGGCAGTGCCAGCGGCTGCTGATGCGGCGGCTGAGGCTGCCCATGGTGGGGTGCCGCCAGGGGTACTTCGTCCGTCTCGTCCAGGCGCAGCTCGGGCGGCCCCGCGGGGCTATCGCAGCCCGTATCGCTGTCCTTTTCCTCCAGCCCATCGTCGCCCTCGCCCACCACATCTATGTCCACGTCCTCGGCCGTCAGCACCGTCTGGCCGGACATGTCGCTGGCGCTGCCTCCGCCGGAGAGGGTCATCCCTCCTCGGGTTTGGTGTCGGCAGCGGGGAGGGAGCGGCGAACGGTGGGGCGGGCAGAAAGGAGTTCGGCTCCCGGGAAAGATGGGGGTCTAGGGAAAGGGTGAGGGCGCAGGTAGCTTGGGGCCCTCCGGGATCGGCTCACATTCGGGTGCCCAACATCATTCGGCGCGGGCAGTGCCGTCAGCCCCCTGCGGTCCAGCTCGGTAAACTCCTTGGTGCTCGGTACTAGGTGCTCACTTCTGCTTCTGAATTCTGAACCTTCTTCGCGCCGCACCCCTTCACTTCACCAGTCTTCCTGCTGGCTAGGTCGTGGGGCGCAGGAGCGGTCCAGGCGGGCGCTGGACGCCCGGCGCAGAGCAGCTCAGGAGGGTGCAGGCAGGGGCAACTGAGGGGGGGGGCGGGTAGTGTCAGGGACGCCGAAGCCCCCGTAGTCGAAAGTCCTGTTTTAAGGACTGGCCTGATAGATTACTTTCTACTTAAAGATCCAACGGGAGGCGGGGCCACGTGACCGCGCGTGACGTCAGGGCCGCGGCAGAGCCGGCCAAACTCAAGTTGGTTCTGGGAATTGTCAACAAAGGGACGAGAGACGCGCAACTCGGCACTGCACCGTGCGCCTGCATGCTGGGGGCCCCGAGGGCTCCCAGGCCAGCCTGGAGACCTTCATCCAGGCCCGAGGCCGGCGCAGGGGTCATGGGAGCGTGTGTGTGAGCATGGATAGTTGGGTGTGATCGACTGAGGGTATGGGCCTGGGAACATCCGTCGGGTGGAGAGGCTTGTCCCATGTCCTCCCCGCCCCTTTCCCTTCCACCTTACTTCCCTTTCCCAACATATTTCAGGCAGAGAAGAGGCAACACAGAACAAGATTTCCATATAATTTTTTTTCTGAACAAAAACTTACTACGTTTGTTTTTGGTTGTTTGATTGCTTTTAGCTTTAGCTCTAAAGAATAAGGGCGGCGCTCTGGGTTGGGTCTTGCTAATTAGATTCGGGACACCCTCCTGCCTTAGTGCTCACTCGGCAGAGACCCCTGCTGAGGAGACGCGCTTCCTCTCCCCCTAAACCCAACCCAATCGTCCGAGTCTGTTTCGCTTTTCAGGCTTCGTGGGGGCATGTTTTTATATATTAAATTATACTCCTGTATTGTGTATATATATATATATACTCGTATATATGTATATATATCCCCTCTCACACACAAAAATATCAGCTGGGATTAATCTATAAGAATAGTTTCGAGAAATAAAAACAACGTGAATTAAAAGGGAAATTATAAATAAAGGAGCCATGATTCTCTTCTCGGAATTGTTAAACGACTTGGCATATGAAAAAGTTGGAAGACAGGCGCTGGGGAAGGAGCCGGTATTGGCAGCGCCCGGGTAAGTCAGGTGGGGCGGGGAAGAGGCCTATAGCTGCCAAATTAAATGCCGCGCCCTGACTGGGATGGCAGAAAAACGCTGGGATCGGGAGTACATCTCGGATGGGGCATGGCCTGGACTTTGGGGAGAGGGACAGCATCGAGCCTGCTGGTGGGCTGGGGTTTGAACTGTTGATAACGTGGATTCTTTCCTCTAAAGGCTGAGACCAACCCTCCAAGAGTTAACTTCCACGAAATCAGCGACAGAACAAGCGGTGGAGGTGAGGATGCGACCAACGCACACGGAATTTCCTTGGCAAGGAAAGGCAGCGAGGGTAGGAAAGAGTGAAGATTTAATTGGGTACTCTAGGGGGACCGAAAGTTGACCCCAAGCGTGTTGATGGTAGAAAGAGTGGACCTCCTGTCTCCAAGGGTACGAGTGCCTGTGACCCGGTGAATTCGTTCTGTGCTGCCTTTTCTATCTTGCTTTTAGACCACTATACTGCAAATGACGAACTCCTGTCTGACGTGACAGGTTCTTGGAACCTAAGCTCTGGGAGGGGAATGCTGGCCTTATCCGAGGAAGGAACACAAGGGGAGGAGGTCAGAGAGAAAACAGTAAGTTTAGTACTTACAAAAGACTCTGGGAAAACAGATTTGATTATAGGTAGTTTGGTGGTGCTTCTGATTCGCTCTGTTTCTGTGACTCTCCCACCTTCTATTTTACCCTGGCCTAGATGCAACACCCTTCTCCCCCAAAATCCGTTAACTTGCTTTATTAAAGGTGGTGCAACCCAGAGATTGATTTCCATAGCATTAGACAATTCCCCGGGATATAACACTAGCCCGTTTGATTCCTGCTTCACAGGATGTTCCTGGTTGGGGCTGAAGGGTGGAGGCAGTGACATCATCCGCCACAATTTTTCTGTATCTAAATAAATCCCCCGACTGCACCTGACCCTAAAACCCATCTCTGAGTTGATTTCCGCAGCTGTATTGCTTTGTGGCCCGCAGGGCCCGAACCGTTTACAATGCCGTCTGGACAGCCCATGGCGAACACAACCTGAGCAGCTAGCTGGCTCCCATCGACCCCGGCTGCAGACCCAAGCCACCCAACAAATACAAAAGGAAAAAGGAACAAACAAACAAAAAAACCTCGAAATGTACAAATTCAGAAATCCCTTTTTCTCAGACACTGACTGCGGTGAGGACCCCACGGCAGGCTGTCCAGGCGTGGAAGCGTGTATATGCATGTCGGAGGTGGCGGCTCCAGGGTCTGTGTCTTTGCCAGTCTTCTTGAAGTAGTATCCAAATGAGCTTAATTTTGATTCTGCTTCCCGCCAGGGCTGGCTCTCACGACTGCCTTGGCGCTTAGGCCACTGCTTCTCACCCTCCCTCCTAGGCCCCGGCCTCATATGTCGGTTCCCATGTGTCTCTTTGAAACCTCCCTGGGGAGAGGGTGAGGAAAATGAACAACTCCCAGCCGCTGGTTCCAATTGTTGCGCTTTTTTTCTTCGACACAATAAAAGTCAAATTAATTGATTCATACCATTAATTACGGAGCGTAGCGTGAAAAGCAATGCTTCCCCTCGGTTAGAGATCTATTGTACTAATCTCTTGTTCAATCAGTGTTACCATCTGATGCTGGGGCTGGCCTTTACAGAAACTTTTCGACTCGATTAGCTAAATGATGAGTCGTGCAGAACCTACTGGCTGCGGCCCAGACGCCCCGCGCTCGCGCTGGTAACAACCACTTGAGATCGATTTCCAGAGGAGGCTAGACATTTTCCCGTCGCTACTCTCAGTTCTGGGACCTTGCTGTCGTTTTCCTCCTTCCGGGTGTTCCACTGAGCCCGAGCAAACAACGAGGGCGGGAAGGAGGCGAAGCCCGGACCAAAGGGGGAGACAGGAAGGTTCCTGTTGCTCTCCTAGTGGGAGGCCGCACAGGCCTAAGGGCTTGAGCCCAGAGCAGTCAGAGATCTGCCTGGGATAGGCTAGATTCGGTGCTAAGTATATCCTGTTTGATACGTAATTGCAGTTTGCAGCTAAAAGTCCTCAAATTGTTACTTGTCGCCAAACTTTAGGACAGAGAAAGATGGAAGGAAGAAGCGAGATAGATATGGTATCTAAGTGACAATAATAAGGGAATGAAATACCATAGACTATGGGGGTGGGGGGAGAAATATAGGTAAATATTCTGAGCCGAAGATTGTTGGGGAAGAGAGATAGAGACAGATATGAGTGAGGGTGAAGACATGGGTCACAACAAGCAAGGGTCCCAGGAGGGATTTAAAGAGGAAGATGGCAGCCAGCTGTCTCACCTACTCAAATGTTTGAACCTTTCCAAGCAAAGGAAAGTAGAATGAAGCCTCCCCTGCACCCCCCACCGAGTAGGGCGGAGTCCGTGAGATCTGTCCGGGACAGTCTTGAGTACTGGGGCTATGGGGGGTGAGGGGATTCCAGCAACAGAAGACTAGAACAGTGGAGTCCAGATCGATGGGAGGGAAATTGAGACATTTCCGGGGTGAGGGAAGATTTAGTGTGCGCGTCCCTTAGGGTGGGTTAGGGGGAGAAGTTGATGAAACAATTTATGACGGAGAAGGGGAAATTAATCACAACTCAATTTAGGTTCTTAAAGTGGTCAACGTGGGCAGAGGGGCACGATCAGAGAGAGGTGGAAGTGGCCCACCTACTCTTCCCAGGCCCTTTTCTTGATCGGTTAAATCAGGTACTCTGCCAATGGTTTGGATAAATGTTGGCTCTGAGATGGTATCCTCATTGCCCACAAGTGCTGGTGACTTTTCTTACAATCCGGGGAGATAAGACTAGGTTCCCCCACCGAGAGAAGTCACTTGTCATTTATTGCAGAAGAAACAAACCATAGGGGGAGCTCATTTAGTATATAACAACACCCCCCCTCCTTTTTTTTTCTTCTGAAAGAGCCAGAATAGGCTCCTTTTTTGACAATTTTCATAGATCTGCTAAGCAATTACGAGCCACTTTTTCAGATTGGTCGCCACAGAGGGAGGTGGGAAGGGGCTATCGGTCCTCAAATCCACTCAGATGATTTCTATTTCCCAGTGAGCGAGATTTTCAAATTCCTCCCCTCTACTGGTTTGTATATTTCTCCATAGCTCTCCGGGGTGTGTGTGTGTGTGGGGGGGGGAGGCTAATTTAATTTTCTTGCTTGTGGATTTGCATCTCAAAGCTGCATGTATTTTCTACGTGTCTGCCATCCGGGCACACGCCAAGGAGTACCTATAAATGGCTAGAGACCAAAGGAAAAGGAGGAAAGAGAGAGGATGGTTTCAAATTTATTTATATTGGAAATGTATAAACATCCATTTTGTAAAAGGCAACACGTTTAATTAACGATGAGAGAGCAGTTAGGGGCAGAAAGCTAGTAAAATTGTGTGATAAATTTATGGCATTGTTAGCGTGCTTTTAATTATGGCTATTATGTTAATTATTTCACATTAGCATGGAGTTATCAGCAGCGTGTCAGATTTAATCAAAACGAGCCTTTCTCTAGAAAATTGTTCCTTTCATCCGCGAGGAGAAAGGTCCTTGGCAGGATCAGGGCTTAAAAATGACTTAGCATTGAAAGCCCCGGTCTTTCCCACACGGTTTGGTGTGATGCGGCTG